AAATTTCGAAAAACTTTTTCGCTTGGTGAGGGAAACCCCAAAAGGGACAGGGGCAGGTAGAGGACACTTTTTCAGGGGGGTTTCCCCCCCGGGGCCAAATCCCCAACCCAACCCGGTTGTGCCCTGACGAACCCACCCCCCGGTTTGGCTGTGGGGTGTCAGAGGGGGGGAACCTGGGAAGGGGGGGGAGGGACCGAGTCAACCAAATCGATGAGGGCAGGGATGTCGGGGGAGACACACCCGCTGGATGACACCGGGGGAAAAGGGGCCTTTCTGGCTGCACTAGGGGTTTGCCTCGACCCTTTTTCCCTCTGCGCCAACCCGGCTCGCTCCCTGAAACTTTGCCTCCTCTCACTCCCTGCGTTTTTGTCTGACTACTTTTTAATTTCAAAAAGCACCCCCCAAAAATAAACCGGTTTTTAACTCTTTGAAAGGGTACAAAAATTTTTTTGAACAAAAGTAACTTTCTTTTGGCCCTATAACGTTTCTTTTCCCTAGTAACGATTCTGTGCCCCGGGAGTAAAAATTCTGGGGCCCTGAGAAACGTTCTGTTTTCCCGGGATAACGTTTCCCGGGCCCCCTCAGAAAACCTTTTCGGTGTCCCTGAGTAACATTCTGTGCCCCCTGATAACTTTTTCTGTTCCGGAGTAACATTTCTGTGGCCCTCGAGTACGATACCTGTGTCCCTCAGTAACAATTCTGTGTCCCTGAGTAACGATTCTGTGTCCCTGAGTATTCTGTTGTCCTGAGTAACGATTGCTGTGTCCCTGAGTAACATTCTGTGTCCCCTGAGTAACGATTCTTGGGTCCCTCGAGTTAAGGAATGCTGTGTCCCCTGAGAGTAACGATTCTGTGTCCCTGAGTAACGATTTCTGTGCCCCTTGAGTATCGTTCTTGTTCCCCTGAGTAACAATTCTGGTGTCTGTCCCTGAGTACATGATTCTGTGGTCCCTGATAAACGATTCTGTGTCCCCCTGAGTAACGATTCTCTCTGTCCCTGGATAACAAGTCTGGTGTCCCTGGAAGTAACGAATTCTGTGTCCCTGAGTAACAGATTCTGTGGTGTCTCAGTAACTAATTCTTTCTGTGTCGCCTGAGTATCAATTTCTGGTGTCCCTGAGTGAACGATTCTGTGTCCCATCATTAACAAGTCAGTGTCCCATGAGTAATACATTTCTGTTTGTACCTGGAGTTAACATAATTCTGTGTCCCTGAGTAACAGAGTTCTGTTGTCCCTGGAGGTAAACAATTTCTGTGTCCCTGAGTAACAACTCTGGTGTCTGTCCCTGAGTAACGATTCTGTGTCCCTGAGTAAACCAATTCTGTGTCCCCTGAGTAACATTTCTGTGTCCCTGAGTAACGATTCTGTGTCCCTGAGGAACGAATTCTGTGTCCCTGAGTAGTGATTTCTGTGGCCTCTAAAGTCTCTGTGGGTGGCACTAACTCTGTCCCTAATACACACAGTCTGTCTCTCGTGAATGACCGGGTGGCTAGATGGAGGAATTCTAAGATGGCCTGCGATGTTAGAGCTCTCACCAGTACACAGAGCTGGCTGGCCTGGGCTGCTGATTGGCAAATGCGATCACATGTCATGAATGAATGCATTATGGGTCACGCGCGCCTTGTCTGCGCACCTTCCCAGAGATTGCCCCGCTCACACGTCGCCACACATGTCCGCCGCCATTTTTTGGGAAAATTCGATTCGTGCATCCGAAGTTTGATGCTAAAATTTATTTTTCGGATTTCGGCGCGAATGCGAATTTTTCCTAATCTTCGAAACGAATTCCACTTCGTCATGTTCGATTGCGCTCATCTCTAATGATTATCTATGCAGGGGGATATGGTAACTTTAAGCTTTTTCTAATCTTTCTCTGTCCATATATCTGTGCTTAAATGTAATAATAAAAACACTAGCAACGGGGACCACTATGATATAAAGGGGAAAGTCCGGAGTTGACTCACCTAAGTAGTATTAGATGGTGTCCTCCGGGCTTAGTAAAGATATAATGCAAAAAAGTTTTTTTTATTTTTCAATGTGTTTCTTAACATATGTTAACACTTTTTGCATACTTATTAATAAATTACGTTTATAGTCCGTAACTGCAGTTGGCCTACTTTATTTGGGACTAACCTTTTTGTGCGATCTTCCCACATCTTTTTTGCACATACATGGTTGCAAGAAAAAGTATGTGAACCCCTTGGGATTACGTGGAGTTTTGCATGAATTGGGCATAAAATGTGCTCTGAATGTCATCTAAAGTCACAACAATAGAAGAACACAGTCTGGCTGAACATAATACTACACAAACATTAGATGTTGCCATGGTTTAATTGCACATAACATTTAAACATTCACAGTGCAGGGAGAAAAAGTATGTGAACCTTTGGACTTAGTAACTGGTTGACCCTCCTTTGGCAGCAATAACCTCAACCAAACTTTTCCTGTAGTTGCAGATCAGACCTGCACAACGATCTGGATTAATTTTGGACCACTCCTCTTCACAAAACTGTTTCAGTGTAGCAATATTCTTGGGATGTCTGGTGTGAATCGCTCTCTTAAGGTCATGCCACAGCATTTCAATCGGTTGAGGTCAGGACTCTGACTGGGCCACTCCAGAAGGCGTATTCTGTGCTGTTGCAGCCATTGTTTTGTTGAATTACTTGTATGCTTTGGGTCATTGTCCTGTTGCATCACCCATCCTCTGCGGAGCTTCAGTTGGCGGACAGATGGTCGTACGTTTTCCTGCAAAATGTCTTGATAAACTCTGGAATTCATTTTCCCATCAATGACAACATTCCGTCCAGGCCCTGAGGCAGCAAAGCAGCCCCAAACCATGATGCTCCCTCCGCCATGTTTTACAGAGGGGATGAGGTTTTGATGTTGGTGTGCTGTGCCTCTTTTTCTCCACACATAGTGTTGTGTGTTCTTCCCAAACAACTCAATCTTGGTTTCATCTGTCCACAGTATATTTTGCCAGTAGTGCTGTGGAACATCCAGGTGCTCTTTTGCAAACTTCAAACGTGCTGCAATATTCTTTTTGGACAGCAATGGCTTCCTCCGTGGTGTCCTCCCATGTACTCCATTCTTGTTTAATGTTTTCCTTATTGTAGATGTGTCAACAAAAATGTTAGCATGTGCCAGAGATTTCTGTAGGTCTTTGGCTGACACTCTGGGATTCTTCTTTACCTCATGCAGCATTCTGCGCTGTGCTCTTGCAGTCATTTTTACAGGACGACCACGCCTAGGGAGAGTAGCAACAGTGCTAAACTTTCTCCATTTGTAGACAGTCTGTCTTACCGTGGACACATGAACATCAAGGCTTTTGCAGATACTTTTGTAACCCTTTCCAGCTTCATGCAAGTCAACAATTCTTGATCGTAGGTCTTCTGAGAGCTCTTTTCTGAGAGGCATGGTTCACATCAGACAGTGCTTCTTGAAACCAGTAAACCCAAAACAGGTGTGTGTTTTTTAAGGGCAGGACAGCTGTCAGCAACACATCCAATATCATCACACTGATTGGAGTCAAGGTTGGCTCACTCCTGGCTCCAATTAGCTCTGGGAGAAGTCATTAAGCTAGGGCCTCACATACTTTTTCCTCCCTGCACTGTGAATGTTTACATGTTATGTGCAATTAAACCATGGCAACATCTAATGTTTGTGTAGTATTATGTTCAGCAGACTGTGTTCAGAGCACATTTTATACCCAATTTATGCAAAACTCCACGTAATCCCAAGGGGTTCACATACTTTTTCTTGCAACTGTATCTGGGTTTAGTCTGGGTTCTTGTGTACAGTTCTGTGTACGTTCTCCTATCAGCAGCATTTTCATTTTACATTTTCAGGACTGGTAATTCTGGTTTGTCAGATTAGCAACTGAAAACTTTGATGAAGCAATGTTAGCAACTTTCTGAACTTTTTCTTTTTCAGAGACTGTGTTGATAGCTGTATCTGCAGCAGATTTTAGTACTTTGGCTGTAACCTGTTGAATAGCATGTAGGCACATGCGGTTAGCTATTTTGACACTAGGTGGCTCTGTACCAAAATACTTTCTGGTTACAGCAGACAGTGTCATCGAGTGCTAGGCCCATTTTAGTTAGAGCTGTCCTGCAGTGATGTCATGGGTAAGGCAGCACCCACATATAAGCCAGCTTGGGAGGAGCCCTTACACACCTGGAGCCAAATACCCCACACCAGCATGGATGCAACCAGAAGGTTTAGGCCCTGGGACAGGGCAGAAGGCTGGGGAGGAGTAGACCTGACCTCAAGAGAGCCAACTGTAGACTTTTTATCACTTATAGAGGGGGGACGTTCTGAAAAAAAAAGAAGATGTTATAATCCTATACCCACAGTTGATCTAGAGGAAGGCAAAAAAAATTCAGCAAAGCGTGATCCAATTTGCTCCTGCTCGGAAAAAAAATTCCTTCCTGATCCCCCGAGAGGCAATTGGATATTCCTTGGATCAACTTTACCTATAAATGTTAGTATCCAGTTATATTCTGTGTATCTAGGAAATAATCCAGGCCTTTTTAAAAAGCAATCCACTGAGCTGGCCAGAACCAACTCTTGAGGAAGTCTATTCCACATTTTCACAGCTATCACTGTGAAGAAACCTTTCCGTGTTTGGAGATTAACACATATGATTCTTACCAGTCAGGATTATAATGGACACATGGCCTTTGACCTTCTTGTTTACTGGAAAACAACTTGACAAGTAACATGAAATGGCATCATAACCATGTAGATTGACTAGGAAGAACAATACATTAGCCACTTGTCAACTGTCCATTATACATAAACAGACGGGAGACGCACCCTCAAGGTGCAATCAACATTTTTATACATCAGTTTTTTCAACTTGCTTGTGTATGCCCTCTAGTCTGTGCACAAGTACTGTGCTGTGATCCCTGTATCCATTTAGACACAGCAGATCACACAAAGAGAGTATAGAGCCAATTAAATTGGCTCCATACCACATGACACTAAGCAATCACAGGATTATAAATGTAAACAAAGGCTGCAGTTTGCAGCTGGTTCTCACTTTCCTCTTAGATGTGAGAGGAAAAGTTATTATCAATTATTATAATACTATACATTAATAACTGTAGCATATGCAACATTTCTTCTGTTTAACTTTAGTCTCATGACCATGATTTATTACTATTTTTTTATATTTTGTATTATGATTTTTTAAGTGTCTTCTTCCAGCTCTGATGAAGGGAGATTGTTTGGCCCCAAAAACATATGAGCTACATTGTATCTTCCTGTTGTCCTAATTTTATCAGTAATATATATTTATGGACTCTCAAGATGGTCATCTGCCACTCTTTTTTGATGATTTTTTTTTTAATTTTCAACCCAGAATTTCAGATTTTCTTTTAGTTTCACTTTTAGTGGTAAACTAAAGAGGACAAATAGAGAGGGTGACTCTACCCCTAACGGGGTACACAGACAGCAATAAAAACCTGCTAGGTGTTCTAATCCCTCCCCATTCCATTCAAAGCTAAATAAGCTTTGCGTTCAGTAATGAATACTCTAACTTTTTGAAATAATGTTATATAGTAGCACTGCTACAAAAAGAATGTCACTTATACTAAAGTTTTTTTTAATTCTGATCATTCAGTCGTTGCAAACATGTACTTATGTTATAAGGTTTAACATTTGTTTCAAATGGAAAAACTTTTACAGGAGTAAAGTATATGTATGTAAAACCTCACCTTGTAAAACAACCCAGTCAGTTTAAAATAAAAATGAAAGGCAAAACATTTGTGTATAGATATAAATAATATTATTAATGCATTTTCCCTTTTTTATAAGTGATTACATACCCTCTGTTTTCAGCTGCATAAGAGCTAGGGAGAGAGAAACAGTAGGACACTGAACTTTCCAGTAAATGCTGTACTGGGGAGGTGTGTCAGGGACAAGTCCCTGATCATTGGAGGAGAGCATGCTGAGTTCCCAGCACACCTAGAGAACTGACTGCGCTGTGCTCTCCTGCATATTGTGGTCAGTTTTTGATAGGAAAAACAGAGGGACTGGCAAGAGCACCAGGGATGTCACACAAAGTAAGCAATACAAAAAGAGCAGGATACTTTTTCATACAAGTACATGGTACAGCAGGCACATATCAGGAATATGAAATGTAGAGTTTAAAAACTCTTAAAAAAAACCTGGTAAACA